TCCTAACTTCTTGAAGCAGCTAAACATCATGCTTATATAGGTAGTCCTTTTATTCTTGCACCTGCAAATGCAATTTTTCAAAAGAACTATTAACAATATAAGTTCAACCTCTTTTACTTGCAGTACTGAACACATACCTTGGGATGATGATAATAATGTGTTCCAATATTCAAATATCAGGCTTTCCACATTGAATTCAATATCTAATATCACATTAGATGGGAATTGGGTATCTCAATATAAAAGATTTTAAGTGGACTTTAAACCCATCCCTATAGCCGCCTTGTGCACAAGATCTCTTACTAACCCTTTGGTTAGATAGATGATCGGCTAAATTCAACTGAGTTCTTACAAACTCCACAGATATCACACCAGTCATGATGAGCTCACGAATCATGCTATGTCTAACACCTAAATGTCTAGACTTTCCATTGTATACTTGACTATAAGCCTTAGCCAAGGTTACCGCACTATCACATCTGATAGAAATGGTAGATATCAGTTTGGGCCGTAATGGAATTTCATAAATCAAATTCCTTAGCCACTTAGCTTCTTTACCAGCAGCAGACAAAGCAAAAATTCAGACTCCATGGTTAATACAAGTCTGTAGTCTGTTTCTTAGACACCCAAGAAATGGCACCTCCTCCAAGAAGAAACACCCAACCACTAGTAGAGGAGTGATCCTCTAAGTTGTTAATCCAGTTGGCATCTGAATAACATTCTAAAACAGAAGGATATCCACTATAAGTTAAACCATAATTCATGGTCCCTTTTAAGTATTTGAATACTCTACTCACGACTTGCCAATGATGTGAACTAGGATTACTAGTATATCTACTAAGCCTTCCCACATCATATGCTATATCTGGCCTAGTACTAATCATGGCATACATTAGACAACCAATAGCCCTTGAGTATTCTAGTTGAGACACTAGAGATCCTTTATTAGGTAGAAGCTTAAGAATAGGATCTATAGGAGTGCCAACCGGAGAACAATTCTCAAAGTTAAACTTTTTCAATATCTTCTCAATATAATGAGATTGATAAATTGAAATCCTATTGTTTCCTTTTCTAATTCTTATACCAAGAATTACTTCAGCCTCCCCCGTGTCTTTAATATCAAAACTAGATGATAAGAATTTCTTGGTTTTATCAACTTCTTCTAAATTGGTACCAAAAATCAACATATCATCTACGTATAAGCAAATCATGATTCCTTTACCAGAAGTATCAAATTTACTATATACACACTTGTCAGCTTGGTTTAATGCCAAACCATTAAACAACACAACATCATCAAACTTTTGATGCCATTGTTTTGGTGCTTGTATCAAACCATATAATGATTTCTTCAACTTGCACACTTTGTGTTCATTTCCAGGCATCACAAACCCTTCAGGTTGTTTCATGTATATTTCCTCATCCAAGTCATCATTCAAGAATGCAGTTTTCACATCCATTTTGTGAATGACAATATTATGTATAGCTGCAAGAGCTAATAATAATCTAATATAGAAATTTTGGCAACAGGAGCATAAGTATCTAAGAAATCAATGCCTTCCTTTTGTCTAATGCCTTGGATAACCAATCTGGCTTTATACTTATCTATTGTGCCATCCACCTTCATTTTTCTTTTGAGGATCCATTTACATCCTAATGCCTTGCAACCAGGAGGTAAATCAACCAATACCCAAGTATTGTTATGCATGATAGAATTAATCTCATCATGAATTGCCTCTTTCTAGAAATGTATATCCCTAGAAGCCATAGCATTACTGAAAGTCTTTGGATCCTCTTCAATATTAAAACAATATTGATGTTGAGAGACAGTCGCATTCCTTGTTCCTTCAACTAAATATAGGTGAAAATCAGATCCAAAAGACTTAGCTTTTCTAGCTCTGGTGTTTTTCCTAGGTTCGAGTACAAAACTTGCACCACCAGAAACATCTTCAGCTTGAGTAGTACTTTTGTTGGAAAATTGATGAATCATGTCCCTTGGTCTAGGTATAGATGTAAATCTTTCTTCATCAAAAATAGCATCTCTTGACTCTATCACTGTGTTTACAGATACAGAGTCATTAGATTCTAAAACATACAATCTATATGCTTTGGAATGCTCAGGATATCCAATAAAGATACAATCTATACCTCTCTCACCCAACATTTTCCTTTTAGGTGCAGTGAGCCTTACAACTGCTCTACAACCCCAAACTTTGAGATAACTCAAATCTGGTACCTTTTTACACCAAAGTTCATAAGGAGTATTCTTACTCCTTTTATTTGGAGTTCTATTCAAGATGTAACATGCAGTTAACATTGCCTCACCCCAAAACCCTTCACTTAAACCAGAATACGACAACATGGAATTAACCATTTCTTTCAAAGTCCTATTCTTCCTTTCAGATACACCATTTTGTTGTGGTGTATATGGAGTTGTGGTTTGATGTATTATTCCAGTTGATTCAAAATAAAGTGGATCATAATACTCACCACCTCTATCAGTACGCAATACTTTTATTAATTCATTTTTATGAAGCTCAACTTGTTGTTTATAAAATGCTTCAGAAATCACAGAAATGTAATTCTGAATATAGTTAAAATTCTACAGAAAAAAGAATTTTGACCTTGTCGCTTTTCTGGATCCTTGGATCCACTTGGTCCTGCATCATCCTTGTTCACTTTACGCAAATGACAATCTTTCTTGAAGTGACCCGGTTTGTTACAATTCCAACACATCACTTTAGCCTTTTTTTTGGAATACTTGTCATCCTTTCCTTTAAACTTCCTTTTTCCATTAGACTTCTTTTGATTCGTTGATCCTTCTCCATCCACCATGTTCACAGAAGAGAAACCAACTTGGTTCTTGCCTTTGGGATTGTTATCAAGTTCTTGAGTCCTTAAGGACTCTTCAATCCGTAAATGGCTTCCAAGTTGAGTCAAAGTCAAATCCTCTTCGTTATGTTTCAGATTGATTTTAAAATTCTTCCAGGAAGGGGGCAGTTTGTCATTGATCACAGCCACAACAATGGCTTCATCCATTTTTAGATTGTGTTGAGCAAACTGTCCCAGGATCCTTACCATTTCATGGTATTGTTCCATAATAGGCCTGGAGTCAATCATCTTGTAACCCATAAAGTTACTGACAAGAAACTTCTTGCTAGAAGCATCTTCAGCCATATACTTGGATTCAAGAGAATCCCATAGTTCTTTTGCAGATTCGAAATTTTGATAGATATCAAAAAGAGAGTCAGACATACCATTGAGAATATGACCACGACATATGTAATCATCATTTTCCCACTTTGATCTTCTTGGTGTTGCCTCCAAAGGTTCATCTTCAACAGATTCTGGTAAGACTGGCGTGGGTATACTCAGAACATACACCACTTTCAGAGTGGTAAGGAGAAACTTCATCTTCTTCTGCCATCTTTGAAAATCTTGCCCTTCAAACTTGTTCAATTTTTCAAATTTACTAGTCATTTCCTTCATAGAATCACCACTTGTCATGATCACAGAAATGCTTTAATCTTTGTTAGAAATTGGGGTATAGTAAGGCTTGGAATTCTGAGAATTGTGTAAAACACTTTCAGATTAAAGCATTTGGGAGGTACTCCCAATATTCTTAAATCGGATAAGACTCAGAGAGACAAGAATTTAGAATGCTTTGATGATGATTTCGTCTGTACCAGAAAATGACCAAAAACCGAATTTATGATCTTTGTCTAAAACTGTCATATGACAGTTTCAAACTGTCATAAACTGTAAAAACTGACATAAAACGGAAGTTTGGATAAGGGTCAAACGATGGTCAAATCTCTGAAAATACGATTTTCTGATGCATTTTTATATAGCAACATACCTTTATAAAAAATTTCGCACTGACCTGGCAGGGGCTCTGCCCCTTGGACCCCACTCCTAGGGGCGCTCCCCCCCCCCCGGTATTTATCAAACTTAAACAAGTGTGTACTCCACACCTTCCTTACTTGTTTAATATTTATCAAGATCACCTTTGGTCAACAAAAGTAATCCCATTACACTTCAATAATATTGATGACAACAAATCACCAACAGGTATTGCATGATAGAATTGCCTGATAATTGATTCTTGAAAGCTTAGGATTCTTTCTAGTATGGAATTGACATCGTCATTGTAGTTGCTTAGTGTATGCATCATAGTTGTACATAAATAAGACTCTATAGCATGAGAATGTTTGGTTTAGCTTTATTTCTTGTTCTTGTTTGATGAAGGGCTTAGTGTAGAATCAGGTATCCGACTGTTATAGAATCTAGCGTTATGTATGATTAGCACACACGAGTGATGCAGGGGTGTTGGAAGTTTCATGGGTGGGTTATGTGTAAGCATCCGACCATTGAGGAATTTCTAGCCTTTCTCTAGGGAGTGAGAACAGGATGTATGCGTATTCTATTGTGTGCTGATAGGGTCATTGTGATGATCTTTTGAGATAAATACGGGTATGTGTGGAAGTATGGTTACTAACTCATATACTTTGGAGCAGAGGGCTACTATTTCATGGGAGTAGTTATCTGAGATGTTCCGCACGAGATATGTTCCATCGATTGAGAAGGAGAGACTAGCCCATGAGTATTTAGATTTGAGGAAGGGGACGGAGTCAGTCACTGAGATCACCATGATGTTTAGAAACAGAGCTCTGTTTTGTCCTAAGTTTTCTGCTTTTGAGCAAGCTCAGATGATAAATCACACTTATAAGGATATAACTTCTAAATGACAAATCACAAAGTATAGTTTTTAGAATGTTTGCCACTTCCGAATAACCAACAACTATGTCTTTCAAATTTACAACACAAATCTTGAGACACATACTTAAATTACCCTCACCTTTATAATAAAAAAAATACATAATCCAATATGGAATAAGTTTTATTTATTGGAAGGTTTTTTCATGTGTTTAATACAAATAACAATGCCAAAGCTTTATTTATGTGATATACACATGCTGTTTAGATATAGAACAATATTCAGCAGAGCTTAAAAACAGGGCCTAAAGGTATCATACATACACATGCATGAGAAATTTCTACGGTTTGAGAAACTTGTCAAACCAATCACTCGCTTCTTTAAGCATTGATAACGTCACTTCATGTCCAATTCCTGGTTCGACTATCACCTAAATTCCATTCGTAATAAAACACATAATTACATCATATACAACACAATATTACATCATATAACATTATTCTTTACTGTTGTTTACCAATATAGACAATCTACTCTATTTTTTACCTATAATATCAACATACTAATATTCTTTGTTAGTAAAGTACGTTGTTATTCCGTGCAATTTGCCCATTTAGAAAAATCAAGAAACATTGGTCAAGACCAAAAAGTCAAAAGTCAATACCTTGAAATGAGTCAAAGAATGGGCGTCGAAAGCCTTTTGTGTTGTTGATATGGTAGCATCAAGACCTTCTAGTGGGCAACGGGGATCGACTTCACCTGATAGTTTTATCCATATTATTATTTCATCAGATATATATATATATATATATATATATATATATATATATATATATATATATATATATATATATATATATATATATATATATATATTGGATCAAGAAGAATGGGTAGATTGGTCATTTCACCGTTTATAATCAACAAAGGGCGTACTGCAATGACTGGTACTGTATGATCTGAGTCAAACTCAGCTATGTTCCAAACCTGGTCATAAAAGTAGCACAACATCGAAAGTGAGACACTAATTCGATGCGCGTCTGCAACACATTTTATCAATCTTTATGAAACTTACCTTTTCTACAACCTCTTTGTCAATGGTATCCTTCCCTAAATCAATCCTTGCTTCTGAAAAAGAATATAAAACTAACATCACAAAATCATGCAAAAAATAATTACAATTTAGAAAAGTGAATGTGCTAACTATAGCTGTAAGATTCTAAAAACCATAATTATATATATATATATATATATATATATATATATATATATATTATATATATATATATATATATATATATATGAAGAGAATTTTAAACAATTTTTTTAAATATATTTGACGAAATAAATGAGGGAAATTTTGAAAAATTTACAACTCAAAGTCGTTTTTTCTGCATTAAGTAAAAAAACACCCCTATATAACTTAACTTACATGTTTTATTAAAAACATAAGTGATAACATATTAAAAATATAGATTTTATATTTCTTTTGTAAAGTAGTGTCTTAGTTACCTTCAAACACAGACTTAATACTGTGCACACGAGCATGCCATTGATCATTATCTAAGGCCCACCGAAAGCTCTACACATTCATATGAAGTGATTAGGTCGGATTAAGTGTTTAATTAAGCTCATTAAGTCAAAAAGAAACAATACCTGAACAGAAATTATGGGGACAACCACTGAATAACGTGTATCAGCAAAAGCAGCAAACCATGCATGCATTCCTACATCACAAATTCACACATGAATAATTGAGTTGTGGAATTAAAGGCATGATAACTCATATATATATATATATATATATATATATATATACACACACACACACACTTCTTTTTGATAGATGTTGTGTTTAATAAAATATTAAAATTCAACCTCCAAGTGACATCCCAAGGATTCCTATCTTGGAATTGTCTATGTCTTCTCTTGCGGTTAGATAATCTGCCAACATTAAAAGGTCCCACACCTAAAACATAATAAATGTTAAACATTTGGGCATTAAAAGGTTATAATGTCATTTGAAAAATTCAAGAGTTAAGAAGTATAACCGTGTCATATATAAATGGCATTGTATCACCTTTTTTCCATGATGAAACCAGAGCCTGGATCCAGAATACATAAACAGAATATATAAAATTGAATATATATTTATGGTTTGAGATCATGAAAGATAATTAGTATATTCTCAATTGTACTCATCAAAAACTACTCAACTATACATAGCATGGAAAAATTGGTTTCCATATGAATCACATTGCTATAACTGGATAGATTTTTTTCAAAGTAGGATTCTATAATAAACAAATATATGAAAGTATGTTGCTTTTTATTATTTTCTTGCATTTATCCCTATTCTTTTTGGCATAAAGAAAATAAAAATAAATACAGGTTTCAATGCTCACATCTTCATAGGCGGTGGGGGTTTTGGCACGTTCTCCATGGTAACGAGAATCAATGGCAACTGCAATATATCCACGTGAAGCATAATCCTGAATTCAAAGGAAGAAATCATTAGATCAAAGTCGTTTGTTAAATGAAAAAATGACCAATCTACCCTTGTAATTTTATATTATACCTCAAGTAAAGGGCGTACCCACTCTTTGCATGTATGTGAGCTATGTAGAAAAACAACAGCTGGTCTTTTCGAATGTGTGCTTTCTTTCTTGCTCAAAATCAGCACAGGCAGTTGCCCTTGCTCTCCTTCCTAATTTGAATAAAATAATTAGTTTCATCATGTTAACATCAGGAATAAAAGAATCACATGTTAGTTTCTTCATAAAGGTGCTCATAGGAAATCTTTAAACAGAGAGAAGTACATACATACATACATATACATATACATACATATATATATATATATATATATATATATATATATATATGTTTCTTGTTGAATTGGTATAAAAAGAACGACTTAACAGAGAAAGTCAAGGAAAGAAGGCTCATCCAATATGAGTTTTATTTTTAACTTAATGCAGAAAGATTGACTTTATAGAAAAGGTCTAATTTAATTCCTAGCATTTACAAATTTCTTTTCGTTTATTTTTTCCTTCAATCCTTCCATACTATCATAGTTCCATGTATGTAATTATTTTCTGATCAGATATCTTTCAAATGTCATATTAACTTTATCCGATTAGCATTCAATGAGAAAAAAAGGGGGTGAAAGTTACCTTAGTGATTAGGTAGAAGTTTTCTTCGTTGAAGTTATGGATGGGTGCTTTGAGGACAGATTTATTTCCTGATAGTGTTCAATTAAGATAACTTCTAACAATGATTAACAGAAAAGTAAAGTATATGCCAAGTAATGTCCACCTCATAGTCACAAGGTGTTCCCTGATATAAGGGTTCCACCACGCATTTTGCAGGTAGTGTCTGAAGTGGAACAGGAAAATAAAACTATATTAGAAATATATTATGAATCCACATTTTGACAAATAAAGAGATGAAGTCATATTTCAATGAAATTATTGATAAACAAGAGTGATAACAGTAGTTATTGAAAAGTTAAACTTAATTCCTCTCCTAACAAGACAATGAGAGATAACGAACAAAGTTTGGTGTTGTTTCTTTGTTACCTAATGGGGTCATGACTTAATCTGGTAAGATAGTTATGTTTTATCTTTTTTTTTTTGAGTTGATGCAAGAGAAAAGCTTGATTGAAAAGGTTACGGAAATGAGGCTTTTCCAGTTAAGCCATATCTTTTTACAAATATACACAACTCAGTTTTTCCTTCTCAATTATTTTCTCTAGAGAACAATTTATGGAAAACAAAGAAACAGGGTGTTACAATAGAAACTACATGTATTCAGACAAGTTTTGCACTTTGACTTTGGACAATCCAATGAGTTATTTTATAATGAAAGCAACTAACCTTATACTACTGTTACAAGATTGAGGAAGTTGTCGATATTTATAAACAAATCTAGATACATAAAACACACACAATTATCTGTGATCTCCATAGCCACTATCTTAATTAGCTCAAAAGAAATCTGCTGCTACTAGCAGTCTAGCAGCAATATCTGTCCCAAACTACTCCTTTTTCTATATTGCTTAATTATTTTAGGCAAAGAACTCACAGGGTTGTATAAGAGTATAGGAGAGTATGATATGAGCCCAAGTATTCGCAACAAATAAACATAAAAATTGACCAAATCTATGAAAGCAACTTGCCTACAGGAGAACGGCGACTACGGAGAACTTCAAGGAATTGTGAACGGAGGTTGGCTTCTGATTCGATAAGATCCTTCTTCTCGAAATTCCGACGAGGCAACTATGACGTGAATACGTTAAGATGATATGAGATGCTTATATTTATAGGTGATACTTTGATAGAGTGCGAATGGAGAGAACAATTTACTGAAATGCTCCTTGTCGTTTGCTAAAATTTCACATTTGGTTCCTATGTTTTCTTTTGCACTTGGAAGGTCCCTAAGTTTTAGTTTTATTGTGTTTTTCATCCCTCATAGCGCTAAAAAAAGACTATATTGTCCTTTATATTTATATTTTCATTTTTATATTATTAGTTTATTATTAAATAAATTTGAAATTGGACCACCCAAAACCCTACACCCTCATGCCCTTCTCTCTCATTTCAGTTCATCTGCGATGGTAACTACCATACTCTTCCGGAAAACACCAAACACTACCCTGCCGGAAAACACCAAACACTACCGGAAAAAACCCAAGAGGTGTTTTTGGAAAGGTAAGAGACAACAATGGTAGCAGTGCTGATTGTTAATTATTGGTCTGATGAAGCTTCCGGTGGGAGGGTTTCGAAAGTGGTGGTGGATTAAAATGAGAGAGAAGTACATGAGAAGTGTGCGGTGTAGGGTTTTGAATGGTTTCCGTTTTAAGTTTATTTAATCTTTTATATTCATTAATAATAAATAGATAATAAAAAAATTAGAAAAGATAAAGTCAAAGGACAATCTGGTATTTTCATCTCTGCGAGGGGATGAAAAACAAAACAAAACAAAAACCCATGGACGGTTCGAGTGCAGACGAAAACATAGGGACCGAAAAAGAAAATTTTGCAAACCACAGGGACCGTTCTCAGTAATTTTTAATTTAGGATACGCATCGAATAAATTACGAAAACTGTTTGTGTTTATTTAGGATATTCCTTACGAAAATTAAGAAAATCGTTTATTTCATTTAGGATATAGATTGAGTAAGTTATGATAATCGTTTGTTTCATTTACGATATGCATCAAGTAAAGGGTAAATAACACGGATGATCCCTATAGTTTAGGGTAATCTGCGTGTTTTGTCCCTAACAAAATTTTTTAACTCGGACGATCCCTATTTTATATTTTTGTTGCATGCTTGGTCCTTATCCTATGTTAAAAAATGGATTTACCCCTACTGATTTCTTTTATATTTTTTAAATTTTCGATTAAATAAAAATTATTAATTAAATGTTAAAAAAGGTGTCAATTAAGTATTAAAATTTGATGGGTCCCACCACCACATTCCTACTCTACCCACCTCAACCTCCACCCTCCACCCTCTTCTTCTCTGGTAAATAACCCACAAATTTTGTTTCTCTAGCGAACCATCCATAACTGTATTTCATTTTTATCCTCCTTCACCGACCAAAACGACGCCATCCCGCTTGCCCACCTCCTTGGTGTTTCTGGAAAGATCCATAACCAAGCTTATAACTACTGTCAACTTTATGAAAAAAAAACACAAAACTAAAACCAATATTTGATGAAGCTGAAATCTCAAAATAAAAGAAAATAAGATGAAATAGAAATCATAAAATAACACACAGATTCTAAATTACAACCCAATTGATGAACTTAATGTTCTAGATTGCACACCTTAAGCCATCAAATCCAAAAAAAATCCCAAAAAAATATTTTCAACATTTATTTCGTTAATAGATGAGAGACAAGAAAAAAAGGGGAGTGGAGAGAAGCTGGACCAGATGACGGTGACCTCCTTGGATCTGACTTTCATATCTAATTCTCATTTCTTTCTCATGATGCAACAGCGCTCAAACCACCGAACCCTAGCCGCCTCTAGTCTTTCTTATCTCATTTTCTTTTTCTTTCTCATGATGCACGCTAACGGTAAAGGGATTTAGGATCCGATGAAGGTGGACGAGGACTGAAGCAATGACGGTGGTGGGTAGACTTTCATTAGCCGACGGTAATGAGCCGATGGATCTTTTCAGCGTCACAACCACCAGAAAGCACGATGCATGGTTTTGATTTCACAATGGTGGCTTTAGGAATGATCTACAGTTTGGGGTTTAAGGGCATTTGATGATCCGGTAATGGTGGATTCCGTCGGTAATGCTTCGCCTGTCACATCTGAGCAAGAAATAGAGAGGCAGTAGAAAGGAAAGGAAGGAAGGAGATGCAGCTCAATGTTGAAGATGAACGAGGGATAAAAGATGGGATGCAAGTCACAGTGGCGAAGGAGGAGGTAGCATGGATGCAGCCGACAATGAAGAAGGTTGAAAGACGTAAGACCATCCCCATTGGTGAGCAGCTCACTATGGGCCACCCAAAAAATTAAAAAAAAGTAAATTAAAAAGAATAGAAATTGAGTGAGCAGATTGCCCCCACAACCTAGCTCACCATAGTTCACCATCTTTCTCTCTTCGTTTTCTTTTTTATATCTCATTTATTTGATAAAAAAAATTGACGTGATATTACTTTTTGAATTAAATAAAATATAATAAAAAACATAAAATAAAATTCTCTACAAAATGAGTATAATGTTGATATATTTTTTGTTAATTTTTTAACAATAAAATAGAGGATTGGGTTGGGTTGCTAATGTGAATAAAAGTTCATGGTCAGTTACGTTGTCTATGTGGAAGATAGATAAAATAATTTTTTAATAAATATTTGGGTTGGGTTGGTTGCTAATGAAGGTAGTCAGTCTAAAGGGAGTAGGTTTTGGTGGTGGGCCCACATGGATTTTTTTATTAAATAATTTTCTAAACAAAAATTAAATAAAAAATAATTTTAAAAATAAAATTATAAGGGTAAAGTGGTCAATTTAAGTTAATAAAGATCAAATATACGCAAGAAAATAAAGTTTTAGAGACAGTAAGAGTTAACAAAAAGTTTTTAGGGACCAATCACACAAATCACCTTAAATCACACGCACCATTCGCTTGGTGTCTGATTAATCGCTAGGCGGCCTTGTTTTTTTCTTGTGTATTTTATATTCCATTACGATATAGTCTACTCCAATTTCCATGTTTTTTTCCAGATACATGATGATTAGTAAAATGACAAAATGAGTTACATGAAGATAGCTTGTATGGCTTTTATACCCTTCAAGTTGCACATGTGATTTATGGTTGTAAATTTGGAATGCCTGAATATCAATCTTTTTGTAAATATTTCGATGAAGGTATGGATGTCACATAAAGTTTTTTCTACTTGCAACCTTCTAGTTTAATCAACTTTTTGTAACTTAAATAGAAAAACTTATAATATTATATAAATATTAATTAGAATTATGAAGAAAAAAAATATTTTGAAACCAAGTGGCAGCCTAGTCGAATAAAGTTTGAATTGAAGAAGAAAAAAAATCATATATAAACTCCATGTATTAAAACACTAGACGTCACTCGAAAACACCAAACACTACCGGAAAACACCAAATGTTAGACACCACCGGAAACCACCAAGAGGCGACACGAAATCAATGCCTTCCTTTTGTCTAAAGCCTTGGATAACCAATCTAACTTTATACTTATCTATTGTGCCATCCACCTTCATTTTTCTTTTGAGGATCCATTTACATCCTAATGCCTTGCAACCACGAGGTAAATCAACCAATACCTAAGTATTGTTATGCATGATAGAATCAATCTCATCATGAATTGCCTCTTTCCAAAAATGTACATCCCTAGAATCCATAGCTTCACTGAAAGTCTTTGGATCCTCTTCAATATGAATACAATATTGATGTTGAGAAACAGTCGCATTCCTTGTTCCTTCAACTAAATATAGGTGAAAATCAGATCCAAAAGACTTAGCTTTTCTAGCTTTGGTGTTTTTCCTAGGTTCGAGTACAAAACTTGCACCACCAGAAATATCTTCAGCTTGAGTAGCACTTTTGTTGGAAAATTGATGAATCATGTCCCTTGGTCTAGGTATAGATGTAAATCTTTCTTCATCAAAAATAGCATCTCTTAACTCTATCACTATGTTTACAGACACAGATTCATTAGATTCTAAAACATAGAATCTATATGCTTTAGAATGCTCAGGATATCCAATAAAGATACAATCTATACCTCTCTCACCAAACGTTTTCCTTCTAGGTTCAGTGAGCCTTACAACTGCTCTACAACCCCAAACTTTTAGATAACTCAAATCTGGTACCTTTTAACACCAAATTTCATAAGGAGTATTCTTACTCCTTTTATTAGGAGTTCAATTCAAGATGTAACATGCTGTTAACATTACCTCACCCCAAAACCCTTCACTTAAACCAGAATACGACAACACGGAATTAACCATTTCTTTCAAAGTCCTATTCTTCCTTTCAGTTACACCATTTTGTTGTGGTGTATATGGAGCTGTGGTTTGATGTATTATTCCAGTTGATT